GCCCAAGATCCCGAGAGGAGAATGGAGGAGAAGGGATTGCGGCGTGACCATCCCCCCCTGGGGGGTGATTTCTTGCTTTCTGTCTCTATGTCTCTCTCTGTCTGTCTGGTGAGCACCTGCGCTCTATAGCAAAAACCTCTCAAAGAAAAGAAAAGAAAATCCATGCTTGAAAACCAAGAGTTAATGAAATTCAAAAAATTATTTACATTGCCAGTGCAGTTAAATATTCAGGATCCCGGAAGATAAACAGAGAAATGTGAAGTTGTAAGAGACCATAATATGGAAACAAAAATTTTAACACTGGAAAAATTATCAGGTGTGAACAAGTTAGTAGTTTTTACCACCTTTCTTCGGTTGTTAATGTTATCTTAGACTTCTTTTCTCAGGTTCTGCATTTTAAACTCTACTTTCAGTATATGGTATAAAAATACCTCTAGGAAGATACTTGATTCTTGAGACTCTTAATAGTAGACATTTACCTTATAGAGTTGTGAGAATGATATGTTGTTCTCTTATAAATGTTAATATAATTGAGTAGTGTATTACAGGCAGTCAACATAGGCTCTTTCCTTCCCTTCTCCGTACCCAAGACTGACTAGCTTCAGTGGCTTGCCAACCTAGAATAAAAGTATCCTCAACCCAAAGGGCTACTTCAATTTCTCAAATGATTGTCCCTGGTTCCCCAACATTACCTGGTCCATATCCACTGAAGGATATCATGTTATGACCCATAACATGAAAGTTTGCTTTCTAGACAGTTGGTACTTTTATGAGGAAGGCCTAGATAGCATCAAATCTTCATTGATTTTCTAGAGAACTCCTATTCAGTTACAATTCCTGATTTAAGAGACATGTCTTTTCCTCAGGTAGGCTCATAGTAATTTATGTGAGACCTCTCTTATGTATACAAACTCAATAATAGAGTGATATCTTAACTATAGAGATCATAGACTTGGGACTAGCAGGTAGCATGGTGGTTAAGGTGCTGAACTTCCATTTGGGGCTGATGGTGGTTTGAGTTCCACACCTGGTGGCTTGCTTTCTCATTTTCTCTCTCCCTCTCTCTCTGCCTCGATTTGGTGAGTTTTCATGCCTTATAGCAAATTTTTAAATTAAATTATTTAATGATAATTTTAAAAACTCACAGCTTCTACACACAAGCTAGTTTCATCTCAGCCTTGGGAAGGAATTTTGGGAAATCTATAACTACAGAATATCCAAAGAGAAGCTACAAAGCAAATTAAGAAGGAACAGTAGAAAAGTTTCAGAAAGAGTTCCAGATCCACCTTTTCATCTCTGTAAGGGGACTCAGCTGGATGCTTTGTCGGCAGCTAAATAGAACATATTAAAAAAAAAGGTTGGTATCGCCCAATAAAATGTGAAGACTTGTAAAATTTGAAATATTTTAGAACTATAAAAAAGAAAACAATGGCATAATCATTAACTTTTCACTGTCCTTGAGAAATAAAACATTACAAATAGAACTGCTCCTGATTGCTTCATTCCTCCTCCACCCAAGAGATGACCATAGTGAAGGAATGTTAGGGAACAACTAGCAATCTGTTCTACGATGTCTTCAATTTACTGACTGTTGCATATCATTCTTTGGAATGGTTTTTCCCAATATACATGTTCTCCAGCAGTATATGGACATTGTTCCACATATTTGTGAACACTTGCATTTGTCACACATTAACCATCTTGAGAAAAGTGAAATGTCTCATTATCCTATCAGTTTACATTGTCCTGACAATCATGCTATCTATTTGCATTTCCCTGGTAACGAAAACACAACTTTTATTTGTTTATTGGCTATCAGCATATCCTCTTCTGTGTAAACCTCCTTTTCAAGTTTTTGCTCATTGGGCTATCTACTCTTTATTGATTTGTAGATTATTTTAATATTTTTTATAGAAATTCTTTGTTACATGTATAGCAATTATTATCACCTAGTTTGGGCTTACTCTTTCACTCATACAGTATTTTTTAAAAACCCTCAGTATAGTTTTTATTTTCAACCTTTATTTATGATAGAGCACATGAACACATATAAGGGGGAGAAAAAGAAGGGGGGAAAGAGAAATGTACCTTCCACATGACCTGGCTGCAATGCAATTCCCTTCTTTCAGTCCTCTAGCCTGTCAGATTTTGGACATTTAAATGTCTGG